GCACTCATTTTATGGCAAGACTGTACTGACGGGTGGAGCTGCCCCCCCCCCCCCTAATTTTAATTTTATTTTAATTTTTTATAACCCTGCAAGGAACTGGGAGCCACCTAACACCCTCCACCTCAGCCCCCAGGTTATCAGGCAGCCCGTCACTCAGCATTCCACATTTTCCACGTGTCCATCCCTTCTTATGTATCTTGTCTAAGGACTTTGGGACTGGTATCTAGTTTTGGGTCTGTATTTTTAATATTTTGTTGGATGATTTTTTTTATTTTTTTTCCGGGTTTATTATTTCTTTTCTTTTTTTTTTTGTCTTTTTTTCTGTTCCTCCCCTAATGAAATTATTGCTATAGCAGCTGTGCAAACGGCAGGCCATGGTTTTTATTGTGGACGCCTGTTGCACAAATCAAGGTTGTAGCTACATTTTTACTTTCTGTATGACAAAAAACAAACTTTGTAAATAAAATGTTAACATTTTGGGGGCTTTTTGATTATTTTTATATTAAACCATGAGAAGCGTGACATCTCAACGTGTTTTTCAGTCACAGTAAGTTAAAATAAAAAATATTGTTACATGGATGTTGTACCCATAACTGCATTAAAAAGTTACTGGTCAGTAACTGGTCAGTGGGGATGTGTGCCCCCATAATAAGGTTGTCTCCTGGAGTTAGTAGAAGGCTGTTATCTTTCAAAGAAGGGGAGCCGAGTACTGATCCTTGAGTGTCACCGTCTTGTTTTCTTGATCCAATGATTAATTTACCTCTTCAAGTTCTGCTGAAGCACCGACTCAAATTAGATGTTTGAGCAAAGAAACTTGTAAAATAAATGCAGGATACTCAGGGTTCCCAGTGACTGGACATCAGGACAAACTGGAAAACATTTTTCAAACTGGGAAATTAATACATATTTGTCCTCTGATGCATGAGCAAGCGTTCTGAAGATGTCACCACCACCAGGACTGAAGAGCTCCCTGAACCAGGAACCCTGGCTGAACGCAGAGGTCTACCCTGCCAGAGATGCTGCCTTCAGGTCTGGGGACTCAGGAACTGGGGAGGGCAAGGAAAGGGCTGGCTTCTGGTATGAAGAGGGCCAAAGCCACATGCGCATGGAAGATCCAGGAACAGTCCTCCTCGCAGGGACACGGTGCATCACAGACTAAAAGCAGAGGAGCACAATGATCTAGGGAGCCATCACTGCCTGATGCTCTAAACAGGTGTGTGCTCGCTTTGAAGACCCAAATAGACCACCCAGCACCAGACTCACCACTGGAAGAGAAGTTCCTCAGTGTGATCTCAGCAGAAGTAAGGAGAACCTTCAGGAAGAGTAATCCTCACAAGCCACTGGCCCAGACGACATCCTGGGGAGGGTGCTGAAAGACAGCTGATGAGCTCTGCGAGGTGCTGCCCAACATCTTGAACTCCTGCCTGTTCCCAGGGCAGGCAGGAGGTGGAACACCTAAGAGCTGGTGCACGAAGAACAACCTTCACATCAACATGAAGAAGACGAAGGAGATGGTCGTGGACTTCAGACGGAGCAAACACCTACCCCACCCTCTCCCCGAACACAGGACGATCTGCGGTGGAAGTGGTCTGCAGCTTCAAGTACTTGGGTGTGCACCGACAACCTCAGCTGGAGCAACACCACCAGCCTGATCAGGAAAGCTCATCAGAGACTACTTCCTCAGGTGCGTACATGGCTGCCCACTCTCCACCTGGGTCCTTTCTGTCAGATCCAGACACTCAAAGGTCTGTAGACAGTCTGTAGTTACACGGCTCCTTTCTGTCTGATCCAGACACTCAAAGGTCTGTAGACAGTCTGTAGTTACACGGCTCCTTTCTGTCTGATCCAGACACTCAAAGGTCTGTAGACAGTCTGTAGTTACACGGCTCCTTTCTGTCAGATCCAGACACTCAAAGGTCTGTACGACAGTCTGTAGTTACACGGCTCTTTCTGTCTGATCCAGACACTCAAAGGTCTGTAGACAGTCTGTGCCTCATTGACCCGTTCACACAGAACTCTACTAGATCAACGATAATTGAACAAATCATTCTAAAGAGAATAATCAGAGCTTTATCACATTCACTGATGGGACACACATCGGAGGCAACAAGGGGTTCTGTGTCTTGCCCAAGGGCACTTTGGCATGTGACTGTTGGTGGACTTGAACCCCCAACTCTTTCATTAGAGGACGACTGCTGTATGGGAACATACGATGATCTCTAACTTTCAGTTTGTTACACTGGTTTTGCTGGTTGCGTTGTTTCTTGTTTTCTGCAGAGTTTTTCTGTTTTTTGTTGTTTTTTAAAGTTTGCATGGTTCGTGTGTTTGCACCTTCGGCCCCCGTGACACTCGAAGCGGGTCTAATCTAAAATAGTAAGAAATGGAAGCGTAAAGTACCGCTGAGTAGAAACGGGTTCAGTTTGGGTTTAATGTCCGAGTCAGAATTAACACTTCGCTCTTCTTCAAACTTATTTCCAGCTCTGGATTTCTCACAGGCCGGGGGGTACTTTTTGAAAAGTGACGTTTGA